CTCGTGAATAAGGCTGGAAATTGACCAGTAGACAAACGCGGGAAGGTTCCAAATAGTGCACAAATCCTTTTTTCAGTCAAAACAACGGATAGTTTATCTATCGATTAAGCTTTGGTGTATATAACAATTATGTCGGCAGAAGGTGAAATGACCTGCTTACTACGCACTAGATCTGCGCCTCTGATGAATCATTGCAAAGGCAGTCACAATTATCAAGTTCATTGGGTACGGGGTGTGCGATTGACTTACCTCCATGTGGTGCAAAAATATCTATCAATCGGTAGTTGACTTCTGACTTTAAACTACCATCACTCCACTGTATGTCATATTCGATTACTTCCATAGTACTCACCTAATCTTTTTTCTACCTTTGTGTCTGTCTCTTTTACATCTTTAAAACACTCTTCTGTTCCTCCCCCCTCTCGACTTTTTCAATTTAATGTTCCTTCCCCTCTGTAAAGCCTGAAGTCAACTAAAGGGCTAATGATAACTATCAAAACGTTTGCCATTTGATATAGATAATTCAATGGGTACTCCTTTTTAGATAGAACCTGAAATTAATTTTGATGTGTTGAGATCCATTCTACTATCATTCCAAAGAAATTAACTGGTCTTATGAAATATTGGAAGCGCCTATTAAAAATGCGCCACTTAGTATTTTCAACATTTAGTAAAACATCAAAAATTCAGTTTGTTTTGGGTAGGATCGCAAATGAATTGGTGAAATTGTTCGTTTCCACAAATCGTCACGGTATTTACTAATAATTGCAAAGCGATTTCTTACGATAATTTAGTATAACTTATTTCAAATATATAAATCGTGTATCGGAACTAATTGATTGAATGAAATAAAAAGAAAATATAAAAACCCGAGAGTTTTGTCATCAACATAAGGATATCATTAAACACATTGGCAAAACGCCAAAAGCAATTACGAATTTAAAGCTGAAAATGGAATTAATTTAAACAAGATGCCAAATAGCATGTATTAAAAGAACATGCTGATAAATTTCTCTTGGTTACACGTAAATTGATGAGCCGAAATTTATGGATCTAGTCATGGGGATGTGAATTCTAGTGAGCTTTGTGATAACATCTTCAGCTGTTCGAAATAATTGACTAAAATCAGTGTAGATATAATGATTATTGAATTACCGATCACTAAGTTTAACTTGCTGGACATTTCACTCTGACAGCCTCCCTAAAAACTGGTCATTTTAATTTTGAACTCTGGAATAAATGAAAATGTAGGCTACTTATGGTTACATTAACAATTATGTAGCGTAGAAGGTTACCACTAAATACTTCCCACGTAACATCATCTTCTTTCCCTTCAACTTCAGTTTCTTATAGGTGCGGAGAGAATATATTGCCAACGGCTTATTCCCGTATTGAGGTCAATCTTCTTGCCACTAAATATGGTATTTACCAACCATCTTTTTCTAAGGAGAGGAAATTTGCCTTCCATTATTGCCCTATGCAGCATGATCTCCCAGTCACGGGATGTACGAATCAAGGTTTTGGTAACTAATTTTTACTTTTACAGACAAACATAATAAGTGTTAGAGTATCAAAGAAGTTGTGCAGCTGGTTATTTTAAAAAAAGAGTATTTAAAGTATCAGTTAAATTTTTGTATTATTTGCTTCTTTCGCTATTTTGGAACTGCCACGCCATCAGTGAATGAGCGCTCTTTAACAAGCTCTGACCACATAAAATTAAAGAAAATTGTAGTGGTTTCATTGTGCGACATTGCTGGGAATCCCTCAGCCGAGCCTAGCAAATCCAGCTAGTGTACAAAGTGCACGCGTGCTGCCTCACAACGTCACCCACACAAGCGGCATATCGATCGTATCGTCATTGGCTTTAACCTTATTGGTGCGCGTATCATCTGGGTTAGCAGATACGCACAGTTTCGCCAGCATTTGCAAAGCGTGCGTAGTACTTCAGAGTTATAGTGACCACAAGCATGTAGCTTAGTGGTGAAAATCACCATTTTCACCTACCCTCCTACCCTTCCCGGCACACACACGGAGGTAGATGTGTGCGGGGTGGCAATCCACACTACACACAAAGGGAGGTGCACTTGTTGCATATATTCCCACCCAATCGAAGTCGTATGCACTAGTGGTGATATGGTAATATACTGTGACCTTGTTAAGAGATGGTAAAGTTCAATGATCTACTAATGAAATGCCTAAAAGTTAATCGATTTTTGTCGTATTTTAACCCTGAATGGAAAGACTTCTTCAAGCCCAAATCGTAGAAAAAAATTATGCACTTCCTTAAAAGATGCTATCTGGGTACTACGATGTAAGTAAAAAAAGAACAATTAAATGAATAATTCATACCGAATCGAGTGCGGAGGTTAGAAAGTGTCTGACTGTTTCAAAACACAAATGGAGAAATTCTACTGCAAGAGCGATATTTCTAAATATTTTTTTTCGACAGTTTACATAAAGGTGTATCTAGCTAAATTCAATGCGCTTTGATTGTGATTAGAGTCAGCTTTATCTCTACATTTTACCAATTCAAAATCATAATGAGTGTACTGGAAGTTCCGACTTATTAACATATGGGCAGTGACTAACATTAGTAGCAATTTAGGCTCTTAATAAAGCTATTTAATGGAAGAAGGATGGCAGCTGATTTGAAGTCATTTTAGGTAGAACCAGAGCCTACTTTCACTGTCATATAAATTCGAACTAATTTTTAAACAAAAAACGTATATTGATAAGCATCGAACAATTACACTTATAAAATAAATAAAGAAAAAATTATTTGGTGATACGAAAAGGCGAAAAATTATTAATTGGTCATATTATAAAAATATGAATGTATAACTAATGGAAATTACTGCTTATGAAATATTATTTGTTCAAAGAAAAACTGCTTCGGACTCTTTATAGTTTTTAAGTAAATAAATTAGAGTATATTAATAATGTTGAAAACGAAATAAAAATGTAAGATGCCTTTCAAAAATATTTTAAATAATAAAATTAATTATAAAATGTAACAACACAAATAATAAAATATCTATATTTAAGTACTATAAAGTACCTTAACATTTTTTCTTTTAATTAATCGAGGTCGACTAAAACTCTCCAGCAATTTAAATCTTTCTGACAATGAGTTAGGATTGTTCACCAAATTTAAAGTCTACTAAATCAGACAAGTTACTACTTTTGAATTTGAAAACATCCTTAATGGGCCTAAAGTAAGCGTTTTTTATCTTTAAATTTAGAGTGGTTACTAAACTTTCGCATATGCATTTTTAGCCATACTTTTTACAAACACAATAATAATTCTAAGCCATTTAAATATTTTAAAATGAATTTCAAGTTTAAAAAGAACTATGGTATTAATTAAGCTCTGAAATGATTTATGCTTTCAATTTTACTTTTTACCCATATTTTTCTGATATTTGAGATAATTTCGACTATTTATTCCGTCTTATTTTTATGTCCTTTAATGACAGGATTTGCTTTTCATATTTCCTTCTCTAAATTCATTTATAAGATCATTGTCTTATTCACAAATATCATTCACGACCTCCAAAGGTTTTATTAATCTTTAAATGGTAGATAATTATTCGAGCTCTATACATTTAATTTTGCTATTGACACAAATATTGAAGTCAGGACACTTGTTTTAAATACTCATCATCAATCACCTTTGGCTTTTTGACAGTTTTGATGTTTTTTTACAAATGTCTCTTAAAAAGATATAGTATTAAACATTAATTTACTTCGCTTTAATTCTCTTTTGAAGAAATTTTCAGCTCTAACAGCGCAAGAATTAGCTCAATCCGCTCCCTGAGTAACATACCTGGAGGCCAATATGCTTATGAGGTCATATGACCCCACGACGCACACACCTGTACTTAAAATCGTCTAAAGCAAAACGCGTCATATCCTGTACTTCGAGTTGAGCCTCTTTCAAATATATGTTTAACCTATATGAATATCATTGTCGTTTTGTACAATTTACCCCACCACTCTAACTTGATTGAAAATACCTCATGACGAAACTTTACCTCATTTGTTTAAAATCCATTTTTATCAGTTAGAACCTATTGGCTGTCGTCGTGTAAGCAAAGTCATCATATTTTTATACCAAGTTTGACTTGGAATTAACTTTCGAATTTCTAAAGAGATTTCTTAGTCCCATGTAGTTGCTGATTTGGAAATTTTAATAATCGTACCTCGTAACCCCTAACTTAAGCATTGCTACCGTACGTTTTCGCTTACAAAATAAGATGGGAAAAAACGTATTACTATTTGAGCAAATATAAATTCTCGAAATATTTCGGAACAATCAATAAGAATCTTCTCTATGATATTTCAATTTGCGTTTGTGACAGCATGTTTTAAGTTAATGTCTTTAGTCACTTAGAGCTAAATTAACTCAAAATTTTAAATATCGATTAGCTAACTCATTGCTTACAGTCGACATTATTTATAACGACTTAGCTGTTACATAATTGATTTGGGCTAGTTATGAATATTCATTTTATTCTAAACTTAACTTTAATGGAGCTTGCGTTGTCATGGTTGCATAGGGAGGTACGGAATATTTACAGCTTTGAGTAATCAAAAAACTCAATAAGGTATAGCCCATAAGAAAAATTTTGTTTGTCAGGTTTGCTGCCAGAGTCACGAAACAATGAACTATAAAGGTATTACTATCTAAACTTGAGAAAGCTATAAGTTACTGATTAAAATACTACGATTTGATTATCTAAAACAGAAACTTACTGAACATTTGCTGAAAACCATAAACGACCCATTTCTTTATTTTAATATATAACAGTAAAGAATGAATTTACTCCCTACTCTGATGAAACAAATTACGTTGCAGAAAAATAACTATCAACTTTTACAGTCAAGCATAAAAATGCTAAAAGACAACATATCTTACGCAGTTTAAAGCATTTGTCTTTTATAAATATACAAGGTCAAACAATTCCACACCACGTCATCATTTACACAGTCTTCGAAGAATGTCTCTCCAGGAGTCTTCTGAATCAGATGTGGTTTACCTGAATGAGACTCCCCGAGCAACTACTCTTCCAGCTCTTCAGAATGCAACGGAGGTTAAATTTGCCATCACATCCGACTGCGGTCTGGATCCCAGCGAAAAGGCTAAGGTCGTCACTAATAATTCTGCCATCTACCAACCAATGCCAAACTTAGGGAGTTCTCGAAGTTTCGATCCAAGCCAAGTTAGATTCACTGTTGAAATTAAACTTCTGAATGATGAAGAGGAGGCTTTATTGATTGACGTCAATGTGAGTTGATAGAAAATTCTTATATAATTTATTGAAGTAGCTTTATGTTAAAAACTTCTCAACGAAATATGCTTAAATGTCAGAAAAAGAGATGTATAAATATTTAACATCTACTCACTTATATAAGTAAAAATTCGCAGTAATAATAGCAAAGAATGCTGCAGCGATTAGCTACCTTAACGAGCCTTGACTTTGCCTTAGTATTCTTTATGACCAAATTTTCGTTTTTGCAAAGATTTTCAAAGTTAACTAGATACCTCAAAGATACGAAGGAAGGTAATATGTAGCATGCCACCCCATTAATTAGTAAATGCATTTTGGGTACGTTGACCCTCAAATGACTATTGCTCATTGATTGGTCGAGGTGTCCCTGCACTCAAGATCTCATATGATCCCTATTGCGATCTGCATCATGGTTGCTCGTTCCAGAATGAGCAATCTCGCATGAGATTACTCAGTTCAACTGTGCTAAGATCATGTATTTCATGATGATTCGTGTTCATTAGTGTAATTTTTTAATTTATAAAAAGCAGTTTAGCTTTGTTCTTGGGATTTCTTTTAGTAAAAACGAGTTTTGCATTTAATTTTTTGGAAAATGGAGTTCGAATGTTGACTGGATATCTACTTTATATTGAAGATTTTCCTTTGAATATGATTTTTTTCGCGTGAACTTAAGAAAACGGTTAGAAATTAGCCTTAAGGGTCAAAATATGCATATGAAAATAGCTATTTCGCAGCTTAAATGAACGTTGAATGTAGTGGTCGACGTATTTGTAAAGTCGACGGAAACGAATCTGATGCTCATTAGTGTACTTTGAATGAAACTGGGTGGTTACTTCTGGTAGAATAAAACGGAGGTGGAACGTATTATTTTACTTAAAAATAGTTTACTGACACACAAATCAAGTGTAACTAATTCTGATGAAGTGAATGGTCATTTTTACTAGAATAACCTGTCTACTTTACATCTCAATCTATTACATGTTTAATAGGTTTTAAGGAATGAAATACGTCCATATGCACAGAATAATTAATTACTAGAATTCTGAGGAGTTCACAATAAACAATCGTATTCTCACAAATAAGCTAACTAACTCATCATGTGAACGCGCAATATTTTGCATCATTGCACGAAGCCAATCGTCCAAACATTTGAACAAATCTCTCCCCGAATCTCGCGACTGACTTGTGATTTGTAGTTCAACGGCATGTAAATTAAATGCACGCAATTGAGGGGCAGAGACTGGGCGTCGGCTTTATCCCATATCTTCCAAGTAATTTGCCTTGCCTCTCGGCCCATATTTCTTCCTCCCACGTTGCTCGGTAAACTCCCTTTTCTGTCAACATAACCAGTGGATAATAGGGGAAGTGACGAATTGTAAGAGATCATCCATTATCAATCCTATTCATTTTTAGGTTGCCTATATGCTAGTTGTCAAAAATAGGCTATTAAAGATCGCTTTCTTGACATTTTGAATATAAAAGTTTATAAGTAAATTGGCTGACAGTTTAATTTATAACCAATGAAAATTTCTAGTAAAGTTAATGCTTGGGAAAAATGATCCCACACATCAATAACATCGTATTGCATAAAATGTTCTTGCGTGCATTATTAATAGGGAGGGCAGGAAACCTATTTAGGGCGGTTTAGATTGAGCGATTTGGTAGAATTATAAATATTCAAAATAATAAATACAGATCTATATCTTATGGCATTCAGTAGTGCAAAACCTTAGTAACTGTAGAAGAAACTTGAATAAATGAACCCAGTTGTAAACAATAATTGATTTATGATCTACATTGTCAAATTTCGACTATATTTCTGACGTTTAGGAATATTTTTTCCAAGTCTTTAGGAACACAAAAATACAGCTAAAACATTTTAAAATTGTATTTTACATATAGTAATGGAATTTTTGAAGTAATTTTGTTCTTCAAAAGAATTAATATAGAATGTCTATTTTCACACACGAATTCAAGCTTGAGAAATGACCTTGTTGGATTTTTCTCTGTAATTGCATGGTCATGCAACGACTTTCGTGGGAATTACATATAATTAGGCCATAGTAATGAATTTTGCATGGGTTGAAAAATATAGGTTTTCGATAAGGTCTTTACACATACTTTCCTCCGAATTTCACGATCTTGAATCTAATGCAAGGAGAAAATTGCATCCATGCTTAAGATCTAGCCACTATTAGTTTATTGAGCAATGCAGTGGCACTATTAAAACCCACCCAAACTCTCCATTTCCGCTGTTGATTGACATGTGATTCATTGCCTTAGTTATCTTAAACACTCTAATGGTGGCTTTTGGTAAAAAATTAATTTTTTATAATGATGAGCTTTTTAATGTTGCGTTAAGCAAAATTCAAGATAACTTCAACTTCAAATTCAAGTAAATCAACAATATTTTATTAAAAGTCAACAAAAAACAACCTTATTCTAAAGGAAATTAAGTTGATATAATTGAAGCCGAGAAGAAAATTGTGTAAACATTCCTCAATGAATTACCTCATAGAGAAATTCAATTTCGAACTTTGTCTATAGAAGTAAACTGACAAAGTTATGTTTCGTTGTAGCAAGCTCAAATGGTAAATAATCAATTTTTATGGGCCATTTCCAGAGCAATAGTTATTTATTAACAATTTGGTTCAAATTATTTGTCTGGTGAGATAAAAGGCCGAAATAACCTGTTTGCACCAATGAGTGCATCCTCTTACGCATTTGGATAACTAAGTAAAACACAGCAATTACTATTCATTATTTTTTATGGTTATTTTATAAAATGTTTACAAAAGAAATGGTTACAATAACAAAGTTGATCATAAATCAAATTCATTTATTCATCAATTCGCTTTTTTAAACTTTACCTGGCTGCTTATTTTGCCCCCGCAGTTTGGAAATATTCTATGAGAAATTTCTAAAAAAATCAATATAGCTCAGTCATATAATAAAATATAATTACAAGTTGGCAATCAGAATCTAATAAAAGCATTAAAAAATATTGCCAAATGGTATATCAGAGGCAAATTAAATAAAAAGCCTTAGAATGTCCTCGATTGTATACCACTGTCATGGCTAAGTCATCTGACAATGTAAAGGCTAAAATGCCCGTATCATAAGAACTCAAACGAAGTGAAATGCAAAACTGTAAATGAAATGCCAAAAATTGTGCTTTTGAGTTGGAGGTGGGTGTATGCTACTAAGGCGCAATGATCAACGATAATTTCCAGTGTCCAGTTTTGGATACTTATATTAAAAATAATAGTTGGTTAGAACCCCCCCAATTAACGTCAATTTATCCCGTCTATTCATAAGCCAACGTCATATATTGCTCTGAGCAGTTGTAAAATTGTCGATTTCCATTAGATCAGATCTCTTTATTTTTAAATTCCATACCTTTGGCAATGCATATGCTAGTCTTGGTGGTATATGCACTTTAAAATTACTTTTATTCACGGTTAGACAAATTATAAAACAGCCAGTAGAAAATGACGGTAAAGTCGGGTCTAATTTGAGTTATGAGTCACATGAAACAAAAGCCTATTTATGAACAATTAAATATCAAGTCGTGCCAATTTATATTTCACATAAATTATTTTTGATTTTTGTATATAGAAGGCATTTTGGACTTTTTCATAATATTATAAATCTAAACAAGTTTCTCCAATATAATGAATTTGTTTGATTAAATGTTTTTTTCAATTCAAAAACTGCATTCCAAACATTTTCTTTGGCCCGTCACTGCATAAACCCGATTCTAAAGTACAAGGATACTACCCTAGAAAAAACAAATGAGTTCACTTATCTCGGAATGACGTTTGACACAAAGCTAACGTGGAAAAGTCACATAGCTAAAATAGCAGAATGAATCTCCAATAGACTGAATGTACTGAAGCGTCTTGCTGGTAGCGTATGGGGCTGTGCACGCTCAACTCTCAACACCACTTACAAGATGTTTATTCAGCCAATAATGTTGTATTGCTGTGATCCACTCATTACAGCCACAGAGGTGACTCTCAAATCACTCGAGAAGGCACACAACCAAGCATTACGACCAATTACTGGAGGGATAAAATCAACACCCATTGATGCTATGCTCCTAGTTACAGGAAGCACCACAATAGGTTCCCTTATCAAAGAGAAGGACTTGATCCTGTATGAGAAGCTACTGTACATTCCCATGGATAAGTTCTTCAGCACCTATGAAAATAGACCAAGACATCTGAAAACGCAATCTGGTCTAATACAGAAAGCCATAGAACTGAGGAAAGCTTTATAAATCGATGATCAACCAAAAAGCCTCTCTCTACCCATGAATCCATTAGCAGACACTGATGTAGTGTGTTGCACCCAACTGATTGACTTCTTCAGGAAATCAAACACCCTTCCAGAACAAATGCGCTCAATGGCCATTGAGACAATCAATGTCAACTATCCTGGAGATCAATGGCACCAAGTCTTCACTGATGGGTCATACATAGAAAACCAAGCAAACGTTGGTGCAAGTGTCTATTCTGAACTCTTCTCTTTCTACGCAGCAGCGGGACACAATTGACCCGCTTTTGAAGGAGAAGTAGAGGCTATTAGGATAGCACTATGTCAATTTTGTTTCCTGGATACGAAATTCATCAAAGCGGTAATACTTTCGGACTCACAGTCAACAATAAACTCAGTTGGAAACAGAGAGACACCCAAAACAGCTGAGATAAAGGAATGTAGAAAACTCTATCAGCTGCTGAGAGAGAAAAACAAAACAGTGGCCCTACAATGGATTCTTGGTCACTGTGGTATTAAAGGCAATGAGCTTGCTGACACACTTGCTAAGAAGGGGACAACGATTTTGCAATGCATGTACCGCCCGATGTCTTTCCACACAATGAAGGCCTTAATCAGAAGAGAATTCCAGACCTCAAGGTGCAACGAACTTAAAGCTCGAACAAAGGAGAAACACTCTCCGACATAGCCAACTGGCCAAGAATCGAAGCTGTTACTGAGTTCAGACTACGTACCGGACACGATTGCCTGGCAAAACACCTTCACGGATTTGGAATGTACACTCAACCCACATGCCCCTATGTAACCTACAGGAGGAAACGGCTCAACCCACATGCCCTTCACGGATTTGGAATGTACACTCAACCCACATGCCCCTATGTAACCTACAGGAGGAAATGAAGAAGACCCACCTGATTTGGTGTCCAGCACTAAAGACAACGACGGAAACACAGAGATACTGGGAAGCAAGAAAAGACGAAGACAACGACGGAAACACAGAGATACTGGGGAAGCAAGAAGACTGCTAATGAACTGCTATTAATTAACCGCTATAAATGTAGAAGCAAGAAAACAGCTAATGAACTGCTATTAATTAACTGTTATATATGTACCCCCAACCAATGGCGAGAGCTGAAGTCAAAGTTTAAGGGCTAATGATAAATATCATAAAGCCTGCCATTTTAAATAAATAAATTATCACTATATGCATTTGATAGAATATTCATTTATTCATTTCAAATGGCAGGCGTTTTGATAGTTATCATTAACCCTTTAGCTGACTTCGCAAATGGCAGGCGTTTTGATAGTTATCATTAACCCTTTAGCTGACTTCGGGCTTCACAGGGAAGGAACATTAAAGTAACAGGAAGTCGAAGGGTGGGAACATGCCGTATCATTATCTAACTCTGAATTCAAAATTAATTAATAACAACTTATGATTTTTTAATAAGCTTACTCTTATCTCGAATATTAGCACATTTGGATAATGCAAAATGACTTGAAATTGCGTTTAAAAACAAGGAATGTATCCAATTATTTTACTTATTATAACAAAGATATATTTTTGGCCGGTTTTTTGAATGGGCATCTATAAACCGACTAAATCTAAAGACTGTGTTCTCCAAAAGTTGAATAAAATGTAAGACGGATGTGTCATATTTATAGTTTATGGCTGGTTTAGCCTAAGCATTTATGAAACTTAATAAAGACACGCCCAGCAATTAAATTACTATTAAGCGCACTAGTTTTAACACTCAGCTCTCATTCTTCTGTATATAAATATATAAATGACCATCTAGCGACAAAATTTACACCTCAACTTTCTCTTCGGCCTCCTTTCCGACATTTCACTTAGAAATTTGAAAGTGGTTTTAAAAGGAGATGAAGATTTAGATGTAGTCCTAAAATTTTAGAAATAGAGGGACCACGACGATCAATTTTGGTCAATAGGCTCAAACCACGAAGAAACAGAAATTCCGCTCATGGAATGTTGAATGTTGTATGAAGTGGAGGCTGTTTGAATGACTTGGCATTAGCTTCCAGCTGTTTGGCGCATGATCGAGTACTATTGCTATGTATGAATCTATGGAAGCTTTCTAAGCTGCTTTGCCTATGTGTGAGACTTTATTTGAAAAGTTACCTTCTGATTGCATTTTAGGCTGCTTCATTCGGACAATGGTTATTTGATGAGGTGATAAAGAGAATGGGAGGTTTGCTCGAAAGTGCTTACTTTGGACTACGATACTTAGACAAGAGTAAACAACGAGTAAGCCGCGAGTGTTCTTCTTTGCAATTTTTATTTGTTCCTTCTCATTAAATTTTCGACATGTTTAATTGCATTTTTCTGCGTTTCGATAGCAATGGCTGGACCTTTCAAAAACTGTGTACAAGCAATTAAAAAGTAAGTTCGGTTGCTGAGTTCTTTGCTATAAACTGTTATACAGATAATCTTGAGATTAAAATTCAATTTCATTTTATTAAAGATGTTATTCCAAGATCAATGAATTTCCGAGTTAAACATTATCCTGCAAAACCCCTGAAAGAACTCAAACAGGAAAAATCTAGGTTAGTTTGATATCAACACAAGTAACTTAGTCGTGCGTTAGAAGGGAAGATACTTTCAAAACAAAATTCATTCAGATAAAATTTACGTTATTTCACTGCAAATTTATTCAATTAATCGCTTTTATCTTATTAACTCTATTTATCGTATTATTAGAAACTAATAATAAGCAATAATAAATAAATTTTGAACAAAACCCTAGTAAATTAACGTTCCGTTTTTTTATATTTTGGTAGGTATTTTCTATATTTGCAACTCCGAAGGGATCTGCACAGTGGTCGTTTAATTGGCCGGAACAACGATATGCATATCCTGGCTGCTCACATACTCCAGGGTAATCAAAATATTCCTGTTCCTAATATTGTCTGAAAACATTTAAAACGATCCTTTGTGTTTCAATGTTCTCCTAAAATCTTATATAAAAAATAACCGTCGTCATATTGACCTATATTTACCCACTCCAATTATAAATTGTTAGCTAACTCCCAGTGGTATGTCTAATAAACAGATGGTTTTATTTTGATAAAGTCTGTGAATAACTTTCTTTATCCCAATTTATTTTAATCTCTTATCTCAGAATCACATTTATTCTGCTAATCACAAAGTATTATAATATTCTCAATAGTTTTAAAACAAAGTGAAAATTGCAAGGAGTCTATTTTTTTAATTCATTTATTATATTTGTCTACTTAATATTATATCAAAAAAGAAGCTTTGGATATACAGATGAAGGATATTAATAGTATACCTTACATATTTATGCCGAATAATCTTTTCGGGAATAATAGGATGATAAAGACCTGAAATAAACATGTTTTAACAGTTTTGCATTGACCCCAAAAGCAAAAACTTTTCCTTCAACCAAGAAGTCTAATTTAGATACATCCAAACTGAGTTACTCATTAATTTCATTGCTAAAATATAAAAGTAAAAGTTTGAATGATAGGGGTGGTACCTGCCGAAAATTACCGAAACTCAAAATTTATTCTGTTAATTGGAATGTATTCAAATAGACTCGAATGTCAAAATATTTATATCAAATTAGCTATTTTTCGTGTGCTATATCAACTATTTTTTTCTGAAAATTTACTTGGGATCCCATTGCTAACTTGGAAGCTTCCATGACTTACACGTATCGAATTTTTAATAAAAATCCTATCTTCAAACAATTAATATTTGAGTACAAAGCATGTCATGTATCCTTTATTCATAACGTAGAAGAAATTTCTGTAAGAAATCACATAAAGTCTCACATATATAACAATTGATATATAAAATAAATTATTTGTACTCAATTTTATATTATATAGGTTAGTCGGCCTTTCGATCTACCAATCAGACATATGCTGACTCTTCTATCACTGCCCATTTTATCATGATTAATTTAATACCAAGGAAGATTTTCTAGCAAGACTTAACTTCATAACTTAAATAAGTAAAACTATATCGTATTATTGTTTAAAAAATGCCACCTATCAAGATATTAAGCAAAAATTACAGAACAGAAAATAATTTCTTGTTTTGTAGAGGTAAGATTATTTAATATTTTAACAATAAGATTTGCTTCATTTAGTAGTAATCACTACCAAATTGAAATATTGAAAGACAGCGAATCTGAAAGTTTACTCAATTTTGTCCTTAGGAATAAATATGTTGGTTTCTTTTGCTTTCATACTGCAAATTTTAAATGTGACTTTGATATCAGTAATTTTTTGAATTTTTCAAGCATTTATTTAACTGATATATCTTTTGAATCCATTTCTGTTTTGTTGCTTTTAAAGGGGATCGAAACCAATTACGAAATTTCTGTGTTTATGTCATATGAAAACAGTTATAAGGCATGAATTGAGCTTGGCATCTACGTAGTCAACACAGAAAGACTTGAGGAAGGAGGCTATGGAGGTCAAATAAAGCTTTGCCCAGCTGAATCGTAAAGCATGAATTTTTGCTGAAACTGTAGCGGATTGCTACCTTAGTAAAGCCTGACCGACTCAGAAATCTTTATGAAAGATTCTCCAACATCTGGCTAGACTCCCAGATCCAGCTAAGCTATAACCCAGCTATAAAGGAAACAGACGTGTAGCACGGAGCACGTTTATTCAGGACGTATATTGCGGATAAAGTGTGTACACACAGGGAGCTACTCATGATCAGGATGGGGGATTAGGTTAAACGGAGGTTAATGATTGGTCTCTGTACGGTCGCTGCACACAGAGTTGTACGGCCGCACCTCCCAATCCTGGCGAGCAGACATGCAGGCATACGATGACGCACACAACGATAACATGCCCCACGAAACCAAGAAATATTTTTGAGCTTTGACGTGCACCTATCTACCGTTGTTCCATTTCGCT